CAATCGCGGCACAACATTGCCAGGTACAGATTCAGTACGACCGCGTCATCGACTGATAAATCGAGAGGGGATTTACGAAACGCTACGGTATGAAAAAGTAATTTCTCGTCCGCAAATGATGGAGCTGTTTTTCTCTAAGTTCTCTACGATTGATATTCACGATCACTATCGACAAGGCAGCTTAGCGATTGAGCGTGAATGGATCACCCGCAATTGGACACATCGATTATTTAGCACTATCCTTGGCATGGTGGTAGTTGACGCGTATTTGGCGTACCGCTACGACACAGAAAATGCCGGCAACGTCGACTTCAATGACTTTGCCTCACAGCTAGCTCACCAATTGATATTCAACGAGTTCGAGACTGCAAGGTCAACACATAATGGAGATGGAGATTCTGAAAGCAGTGTTGAGGGAGCTCCAGACCACCACATCAAACCGTTCATCGAGCTTCCCCAATACGCAGCAATGCGTCTTCAAGGCAAGCGGCCTCAACGAAAGTGCGGTGTATGCAAGAAGAAGGCGTCTTATTATTGCGCTAAGTGCTCTGACGTCGCTCAAGACATCTTCTTCGGCATTTGTGGGCCTCGATCCGACCGAGCATGCTACAGTGCACATCTTTCGTCATCTTCAATATGACTTTTTTCTACTAAGCATATGACTTTCAATACAAACTTCTATAGAAAACAAACTAACCTCCAGCCTACGGGTAGGCTCTCTACCTTGCTACCGGTAGGCTTTTGACCTGGGGGATAAAGATTAAGAAAGACTGTACCCCCTTGTACGTTGACGGGAAAGGTAAATCCTCTATTCCTTTGACAATCTTCGGCAAGGCCCTGATTCCGTCCGCACTCACTTCATGAGAGAGAAATGGGATGGTCAACTTTCCAAATTCACTTTTCAGTAAGCTTACAGAGATATTCCAGTGGCGTAGTGTGTATAACAACGCGTCCAGGCCCTCACAGAGTTAGTCCCAGGTCGACGCCCCATGAGCAATATCGTCAATATATAGGAGCTTCTTCCCAAGACCGGGCCCATTTGTGACGGAGCCAAGATACTACGTCGGAATACAGTCATGTCCAATGACGGAATCTCTGAATTCTGCATATCCAATTCAGGTTTCAGGGTTTCTTGAGGCTCAAGATCCAGGAACTCTAGAACTTCTGGGTCAACCATCGCTTCCTTCTCAGGAGGCAGACGGACGAATCCCCACAGGCAATTGTTGATGATATTCTTAAAAATTAACGGCGCATTCTTCAATCCAGAATGCATTGTGAGCCATTTAAAGTGGCCGAAGTGGCTGACAAACGCAGAGATCAACTTCGCACGTTCAGTCATTCACACCGCCCAGAATCCACTCGCTATGTTGAGACTCATAAACCACATCGCGGATTTGAAGTCTACCAGCAGGTCATCGATTAAAGGTAGGGGATAGTGGGATAGCTCGATGAGCGAATTAGAAGTCGGTAGTCAATACACATCCAGATGTCTATGCCGTTTTTCTTCAGCACAATCACAATAGGTGATGACCACTCGGACTCTGAATGTTCAATGTGCTCCGCCTCCAACATCTTCTTCAGGAGTTCAAACACTTTACCAAGAAAGGTGCGGCAATCTGTCTCGCACGTAAAGCCACTGGTTTTGCTTCACCGACGGCGATATCACACACTACGCCCCTAGCCGGAGCAGGAGCCGGAGCTGCGTTGCCATCTCCCAGGAAGATGCTACGATGGCGTTTCAGGATCCTTCTCATCTTGGCTTCCATCTCTGGAGTTGTGACCCCCGGAACTCCGACATTAGCTTCGTCGATGTTACATTCTGGGATTAGTTCATCAATTTCCGGGAGCATGATAAGTTGCTCTCGTAACTGCGCCATCAAATCACTTCCTTCCCTGAGATATACGGCAGGTTCCAGATCCAGTTCTTCAACAGAGACTCGCATCACCCGAGCATATTCTGCTTCCAGTCTTTGGACCGGTGTCGAACAGTTTGTCTGTGACTGGACATCCAATGACGGTTCAGGAACGTGAGCATTATCCTCGATATCAGCAACACTCTCTGGATCCAGGGTCTCAACTTCTGAACTCAAGTCAGAATTGGTCTGTTCTACCGACTCAGGACGGGTCTCAAGTTCCTCGGGTTCTCTCGCGACCGTGTTCATGACGACCTCTGAATTCCCAATTTGAGTGTCATATCCAACGGTTTCGGCTTCTTCCTCGACTTGCATCATTGTCACTGTTACTGGGCTCCGAGTCATCCGGATCGTCAGGAGGAGGGTCAGACTGCTCTTTCGCCTTCTTCGGTTGTGACCTCTTCGACGACAATGATGCAGACTCTTCCTTTCGCGCGGTAGTCTTCCTCGCAACTGACGACCCCGTTCGCCTCACGGCGGGTGGAGTCTGCAACGCATTCAACGACTCTCGGCGAGTGGCGCTCTTGGCTAGAGGTGTCTCGCGCTTGATCTCTCGCTTTTGGTCCTCCGCAACACTCTGTTGGACGGATGCCACTGTCGGTGACATACCTACGATGGGCGTCTGGCTATTCTTGGCCGCGACTGCTCGCACTGGATTCAGAGTTGCTGAATCAGGGGGACTCAGGGACCCTGACTGTATACCAGTTGCTGAATTGGGGGCAATCTGGGAAAGGGCGACTTGAAGTACCGTTAACATCGGATTTTGCATGCCGGTCGCCATTACTTCCCTCTAATGTTTCCATTCGTATTCTCGCTTCTTTTGTTGCTGTTCAAAATTAGACCATTGAGAGTTAAGCGTTCGTTCGCGTTCCTCCACAGCATTTTGGGCGTTCGTCAGCCAGTTCTTCTGTCCCACATCAGCACTCTGGGCCTGTTGAGCAAGCTTATCGCCAAACTCACGGTGCATGCGCCGTTTCTCGTGCTCGAGTGATTCGTCAAAATGAACTCTCGAAATCAGGGTTTCTGGCTTCGGACTTGGCGATCTATGAGCTTGAGACTGTTCAGGCATCAAGAACTGTGAGCCAGACTTGGATCCTCGTTCGTACTCAGGAGGCTGAGGCTTCAAGCTTTCCAGCTGAGCAAGCCTGTCGGCTAACGCTTGCATATTCTCCGAGAGACCATGCTGTTGTCGCTCCAGGCGTCGCTCGATCTGCTGTTCATTCCGCAATTGCTGCTTCTAAAACTGGTCTTGCTGTTGCTGCCACTGCGCCTGCACTTGCATGGCCGATTCCAGCTGCAACCGCTGTTGTCTCTCACGGAACACTTCCTGTTGGTTACGCAACTCGGCCATTCCTGCCTGCTATTGTAGCATCATGTTGATGGCTACTTGAGCTGCACCTAAGGACGCAGAGGACGCCCTAGACCGGGAAGAGATTCCAACGTGACTTGATCGTTCCGAGTGGCTTCATCTCTGGCTACGCTTCGAAGAACGTGTACGACTACCGCCTTGTGACGATGTGTACTTGGACGCACTCATTTCGCGCCCGTGTCCCTGGCTCTCGTGACGCCGATGTCGTCGTGGGTGCTTGGGCTCTGATTTCGAGCGAGGAGTGGCTTCTGAATCCGCATAGTCACTCGACTCGTCCATGATGACGTCTTCCTGACGGGGCTCAGGCCGCTGAGCGGGAATGAACGTCCGACTCAGGGTTCCGCCTCCGCTACCTTCAGCATTCTGCACACCAGTCGATTGGATATGCATAACGACCGCTTGTCCAGGGTGCGTTGCTCCTCCCTCTAGGATGGACATCATTGAAGATGCGGAGCTCTCATGGGACGTGCGGATTCCAGACGAGGTTTGGACTGAGTACCCGTCAGAGGAACCTGATGGTCCCACGATACTTGACACAGAGTCCGACATACCACTGGATTCAGCATTCTCGACCTTGAGCCCTTGAACAACTAGAACCAGAATCAGATGGAGTTGGCAGTGTGAAACCACTCGACAGCAATGTTTGGATGCTTGACAGTGGTCTTGACGGTGCGTTCTGTTGTCGCTTCAACTGTGGCTCTCCATCTGACGATCCCTAAAACCTTCTGGCTGTCCGAACTCTGGATCGATGCTGATTGAGTAAGTTCTCACCGAGAAGGCCGGCTTCCGTATCCGTCATCAACACGTCCTCAGGTTCTCCGGTGGCCACTGTTCCCGAGCCTGCTCGGACCTCGTAGTGAATTCGTTTGGGAGCTTATTCCACTCAACGTATTATATTGACAGAAGATACTGAATGACTTCAGAGTCCACCTGAACTTGATCAGCCGAGAGCTTAGAGGCTCTGGTTCGGAACCACCCAGGAATCACGTTGTCGAACTAGAAACGGGCCTCAAACAACAACGTCTGGAGCATCGCCGCGCATTGGCGGGCTTTGCACAGGGCAGTCGGAAACTGGACACCCAGGAGATCCTGAGCTGTTCCGAAACCCAAACGCGTGGCATTCAAGTCCGCGATCCACATGGCATCTTGCCTTCCCAGCGTCGCTTGTTGCGTCAGGAAATCTGACGTAGTCTTTGCCGCTTCAAGCCAGGCCGTGTAATCCGGAGTGTTTGCAGGTCCCGCATAAGTGGGACTCCGGGGAATGACTCGCTCTGAGGATGTCTGCTCCCATCTCCGAACTTGCTGCGCCATGTAGGTTTTCGCCATCACTTCGACATGCTCATGCGCGGCTCGAGGTGCTGATATCGCCAGGACTTCCTCGACATTTGAGAGTCCGGTTCCAGGACTTGGATTCGAAGGAACTTCCGGATCCCCCTGAACCTCGATGGGTTCAGCCTTTACCGGAGCTTTCTCTTCAGAGTCTGAGTCTTCACCCAGAATCTCCACAACTTCAACCGACGACGTGGGCTCAGGAACGAGATCCTTCTCCTTGCTCGTCGGAATTCAACCAAACTGACGCCTCCCTCAGACGTCGTACCAGCGGCGACCGACTTCGGCTTCAAACTTCCAGTTTCAGGGTCTGCAGCTTCTGTTGACACATGGCCTCCTTCAGCGGCAGGTTTCAACACCGGTTGTGCTGCAGGTGCAGCCTTCTCCGCTTCCCAGGCTTCACTCTTCGCTTTATTCAGAGCTTTGGCCTCCATCTCGATGACTTCGAGAAGCTTCTGCTCCTCAGGCTCTTGCCCGTCAACCCGACGCGATCGACGAAGACCTTCAACTTCTTGTCTGGCCCTCGCGTCCTCCCTTCTGCGTGCGCTTTGGTTTTACGATAGACTCTTGTCAGGAGTTAATCACAACTCAATACACTTACTTCCCTATCTAAC